AATAATCCAACCCCTAATTCAGTCGAATAGATGCTTCTTTAAATTCTGCAACAGCAACAAGATACAATTTCAATCTAGCGGATTGATTGACTAGTTTCAAATTTGAATTGAATGCTCTTAAATAAACACAAAACACTTATCTAATTAAGCGCAAAGTACCAAGCACCAATGAAATGTCAGTCTTCTACAACATGAAAATGCAAATTAACAGATCAAGTTGACCTTCATTCTACTCTTAGCCTCTCTTTTGTTTGTTTGTTTGTTTGTTTGTTGTTGTTTTTTTTTTGGGGGGGGGGGCGTTGTTTTACGTCATTTAAAAGTGATAGCATATCATTTTCTATCTCTGTTAGATGAATTTTACTCCATAATCATAGTCAAAATCATGTACATTTAAGTGTTTGTTTGCTTAAGTCAAAAATCTGTAATTGAAACAATGTGTTGTTGTTGCTGTATTATACAGGCATGTATTGTGAATGTGCTCATTGTTAAACAAGTACTTTGTATGAATATATTAAATCAACAAGACTAAAGTTTTTAACAGCTATCTGATCTCTGCAAAATAAGTTGAGACTTGTCATTTCAGCGTATACAGTGTAATCATCAAATAATTTGCAATATCTTGAAAATACATTCCTATCGTAGAATTGATATCTTGATTGTGTTACACGCTGTAATCGTAGTAAGTCTTTGCTGTAACTCGAATTGAAAATGAACACCCTGGCCTACTCCAAGGACAACATCAATGCTCGGAGGTGATCATGAGAGTGACGGCATACTGTCTTGAGGGGCACTATCTATTGACTTCCCCCTTCTACTTCCTCCTACATAAAGCTTTCATACATCATTACCATTTATGGATATTTTAATATTCTCTTCCCTTCCACCCATGGCTACCTCTTTGCTAGATCTTTTCTGATCATCACAGCACGAATTCTCATTAGACTCGCAGAATTTGACGTCCTCTCCGGTGGGCTCACAGCCCTCTATTCGTGATCGCCATAGGCCTCTCCATCGTTATTATCATTTCAGTCCATCTTCCGTGATTAAAGATGGAAACAGCAAGGAGCCAGCAAATTAGAGCCCACTTTTGCAATCTTTCGACGGCCTAAAATTAGCTCGTCACTATCATTATCCTCGGACACTGTCGCCAGGAGCATTCCTTTACCGTTTATGGTCCGTATTGCGATGGTATTGGTGATAGTGGTGATGTTATTAATGCTGGTTATGATCGGGATGGCGTTGGTTATGGTGATGGTGATGATGATGATGGTGGTGGTGGAGATGATGATAATGGTAATAATAATGATGATGACGATTATGATGTTGAAAATGCCGATGATGCTCCATTATGATGGTTGCATAATGGTGGTGGTGGTAAAGATGATGCTGGTGATGATAAGGATAATGAAATGATTAAATATGTTTTTGGGGTATGACCTTGGTTGTGATGATGATGATTATGATGATGATGGTAATGGTGGTTGCGGTGATGATGATGATGATGATGATGATGAAAATGATGATGATTATTATAATGTCGAGGATGGTGCTTAGAGTACTAGATAGAGTACGTGATTATTGGATTGTGTGGAAAGCCCAGACAAAGTTGACTTTTCGGAGGATAGCAAGGGTAGACTCATCATAGAGCCAAGCCAACCTGAATAGGCTATCATGAAACTAAACGTTAGAAAGTTACAAATATATTTGCCAACTAAGACAGAACAAGGAGAGCCAATTGAAAAAAATGAGTCTCGGTAGGGGCTATGGCATTGCAGTTTGATTCATAATCAATCTGAACAACTCTCGTTACACGTAGTCCAACTAATGAGAAATCACGCTGGGATTGAAACGGTGAGCGCGGGGAGTATTATTATCAAAGCTAATAATATGAGGTATAATCCAAATACAAGTTTTAACCAATATTGGCTAAATATTGAGAAAAAGGAGTTACGTTAAAATGAAATCTAAATTTGTTTATAAAAACACCATTACCATTTATTTTCTGGACGACTGGAGGGGGAGGTCATCGGCCTTTATGCGATGGAGCAAAGCGACCGAGGAAGGGGTCGGGCTCAAATCATATATGTCCGTTATTTCCCTTTGTTTCTTTTTCTTTCCGTTTTCCTCTTTTTCTTTCGCTTTCTTTCGATATCCTCCTTTGTTTTTATGTCGGGCGGTGAGTGGGGTGGGGGGGGGGGGGCACTTAATTGCCTCTATTATGCCCTCACGTAACGGCTACGCCACTGGTTAGGCTAGGCCTATAATAATATTTTTGGAACGGTCTATTTGATCAGAGAATCGGTGGTTGGTAATTGATGAAAATTAGATCCTGCTGGATTGTATCTGAGAGTTTGTAGGAAAAAAAAAGAAGGGGGAAAAACTCTTGCCAATGAACCTCAATGCAGAATCCCATTAGGTTAGAGGTCCAAGAATTACTTCCCACGATCTAATGAGCGGTGAAAGGCGTACCCCCCCCCCCCTCCCCCCCCAAAAAAAAAAAAAAACACAAAAACAAAAACAAAACAAAACAAAAAATTAAAGGGATAAATAGATTCAGTCATGCATTCAATTTTAGGCCTGTTTGAAACATATCAAACTGAAGGCCAGAGCAAGCAAATAATAATCGGATATGTAATTATTATTTTTTTTGATTTTATTTATTTATTCATTTATTTATTCATACAATTATTTATCTATTTATTTATCTAAATATTTATTCTTATTCGCATTTATTTAATAAATGGGTATATATTTATTGATTCATTCATTTTTTTATATAGTTATCTCTATATTCATCTTTTATGCCCTTTTCTTCTTCAGTATAAGCCACAGCTGAACACAAAAAACGCTTGGCCTAAAGAGTAGGGATAGTTCGGCAGGAGGCCTTTATGAATGCTTTAATTTTCCCATAATATATACAACTATACTTCCATGCTATTATGTTTTTTTGTTGACATCATGTTACGATTATCTATTTATATTTATAAATCTATTTGCTCTAACGATAATCCAAAATTGTGGACTTTACATTAATAAATTGATTTGATTCTATAATGTGTGATCAGTGAATCACTGGCGTAGCCAGCTCTTTCATAAGGGGGATGTTACTTTATCCATTATACCAACTAAACAAGAATAGTACCTTATTTTCACACTTTCCATTTGCTTGACTGTAAAACTGCCCAACACCCCCCCCCCCCCTCAAAAAAAAGGTGGGATGCCTCTTGTCCTACTTGGAAACGCCAGTTTAATAAACTGCAATAAGCTGTCAACAAATAAAATGCTATCCCCGCCAACCAAATTCCTAACTCTAAATGTCCACTACTGCATGAAATCATGAACCCGCAGAACTACGATTTGAAAAAATATCAGATGGGTCAAAGATAGGCGTGAAGTGATGAGAGAAGGGGCAATTGAGCGTTTTAATACCAATCATGAGCTCCACTTTAAAATAATTACACCGGTGCACAAATTGGAAAGACGGCCCCTACGCCCCTACGCTCTATTAACATTCAAGATATGTCTATTATCACGATAGTTTATATCCCAAATCCATACACAGTCTGAAATTATCTCCTGTGGAAAGATGGAAGAAAACACTTTTCTCATAAATTGGTTTTAGAATATAGTGAGGTTCACATGACAGTCCGTTAACTTGAAGTTCGTGGTTTTAAACTTCAAGATTATCTTGATGTGGGGACAAACTCATTGGCTACGAAACAGTGTACTCAAATCAAATTTACAAGTCCCTGCGCTCAAATTTATAAACCACAAGTGGAGGGGGGGGGGGCGTCTTCACTCGAAGTTACGTGCCAGTCGGACCCCCGCTTCTTGGTAGTTAAATGATGGACTGCTTGTACAACTTGCCGTTTAAAACTTTGCATATTCGTTGTTTTCGGTCCCGTGTGAGCTATGGTCGTTGTTACTTTTCAACTTCGAGGTTTCACAAACTCAAAATGTAAAACACCGTGTGAACATCGCTTATGGTAGATATCAAAGTCAATCAACCCGCCAGAAAAGTGAATTTATTATTTGCAGATGTTGGGCTGTGTTGGGTGACCGGGGATAAGGGTGTTATTTCTAAGCCAGCCTGGGATAACGAACGAAATACTACCACTATTTCGTGATGGAAGAATGAACATCGTGGTCAAAAATATGATTGGAGCGAGAATAGGATTTATTTTTCTTCCGGCAGTTGACTTTTGAGAGAGCATCGGTATCACAATCGTTAAAATTGCATTTCAAGGGGTGGAATTTATCGATAAAAAGAAAAAAAAATGATCAAGGTGCGATCGTATGGGACTTTGGGATTGGGCTAATATCGTTAAAAAAGTACATTCGACTAAAAATAAAAGTGAATCCGTCATATAGCATAAAGCATTAAAACAACATGTTCTGTATGAAATACCTATCTATGCCATATCTCATATATTTTTCAAAGATTCTAAACCAACTCAAATATTGGAAGAATAACAGAGAAAATAGAACCCGAAACAATCTGATGTATAACTAAAGAGGTTATACGTCAAATTATTTTCTTTACATTTAAAGCAAATACTATTAGTCACTTGAGGCAAATTAAATGTACACATTAAAGGATGATTATCACTTTACATACAATTTTGTATCAACAACAATAATTATGCAAATATCATGCGTTAAATGTCAACAACTGATATTTTCATCTGAAAGTTTTGATTGAATGAGCGAAAGTCTGGCAACTCTTTCAGTAGGTCTGTACCATTTAAATATAAACTCACCAGAAATATTAATAGGCCTATTATTTAATTATATCGTATATTAGCTAATATATATATTTCGCTCTTCCCATGAAAATTTCTATAAAGCCTGTAATCATGATAGCACATAACTTAAACAAATAAACTATAAACAAAAACAGTAAAACAACAGTAACAGTAAACAAATAAACAAAAACAGTTTCTATATTTCCGAGTCATTTGCAAAATATCAACGTTTCAAAATTTAGCCACGAGTCTTACCCGTTTCACAAGAATCTGGTTCATGTAAAATCCTGAATTCCAATAGGTTTTTCAATCCACGCTCAACATCGCTTTAAACGAACTCACCAATCAACCAGGTTACAAATGAAAAACAAAATGTGGAATTGAACCTAATGCGATTTCAACCAAACGCGAAAAGTTCAAAGTCAGAAACTGCGATGATTTTTCCGAAACATGATATTGACCTCAAGTGGCCGGCGATATTTTCTGATGACCGGCTGGAAAGGTGCAAAATCTATAGTGTTGGCTCTCACCGCAGGACGTTCCGGGTGATTGTGTTTTACAGAGATCGAGGATTTCCTAACTGAGGTACATCTAGAGTCTCTCTCGCAGTATGGACAGTAGAGGCGCTATATATATATATATATATATATATATATATATATATATATATATATATATATATTCTGTCTGCTTTGTTACTTGTTATCGCTTCTGGAAATCATCCCTTGACGGAATAATGGGGGATGGGGGGGGGGGGGGGGGCGTGTGATACATCCCACCCGTGCCCCATTCAGACCAAAAACTATCCACACCTTAAGTAAACTTAGGAAAATGCCCACCAGTGATTAAAGCCAAATGCATCTGAAAAAGTGTGAAATGGGTTTTTTCTATTGCTTTTTGGTCAGACATTATTCAGCAGAGGCCGAGTGCCCCTTTCACAATATCATATGGATCCACTCCAACAAGAGTCATCGATATCTCTATGGAGAGGGCTCTGCCCCCCCCCCCACCATCTAGATAAGACATACATGTAAACAGTCCTGTTGTCGATTTTCACATAGATCTTCCGAACTTGTTTGCAAAACTTAACGGGGGGGGGGGGGTTGTTGAACCCCCCCCCAAAGTTTTTTAAATGAGCACTATTCGAACAATGGTAACATGGTTTTCGATCACCGTCAACGTCATGGTTATTCACACAAGGAGGCTGTCTTCATGGATTTTTAAATATACATGTATATATGTCCGTATATACAACAGTGTAAATATATTTCTTCATTCCCTTCGCTCGCTCGCAAAATTTCAAAGCAAAAAAAAGTTCATTTCTCGCAAAAGGCAAAGGCGTCACCCATCCCCGGAAGTTTTTACCTTATACGCCTTTGAATGTATGCCACTGCGGTAGTTCACGAATTACGTCATGAAATTTTAATATTTCAAAAAGGACGTAGATATAATCATATCGAACTTCATCGTTTATTACGTCAAGACACAAGAACCAGTTAAAACAATATTATTTATAGCCATAGAATATCCTCGACATGGATTATTGAGTGTTCATAAGTCAATTTATATGATGGATGTTTCGAGGAAGATCCAAGGAAGCAATATTTCATCGCCTTATTGAGATTGCATTCCTTATTTAGGTAGCTTAATCATGGATTGTTATGACTTGAAAACAGCGATATTGAATACAAATTTTCAATTATCAGAACATAATGTGCTTAACCAGCATATTATCTAAACTATTGATAAAACTCACAAAACATTGCATTAAAAACAAAAATCTATTAAAGGTATCATGTCCCATTTGCAGGCCCCAAAAAATGAAAAGGTTATATTCCTATGGCAATTGAAAGACAATACTAATTTAGAACTTCCCTCAAAACGAAAGGGCTTGAAAATGGCTTTCAGTGGGAAAATAACGACTATTAGTTGTGGAATCGACTTAAGTGATTGCAATCACCTCATTTATAGTCTGATTTTCAGATCCTTTTACCGTATGGTCGTACGTTTTGTACTGCATTAAGATTCAATCAGTATAATTTTTGGCCATTGCAAGTAGTGGGTTATTGATGTAGACAAATTCTCATGTACCTGCCTGTTACAGCTCATTTTATGTACATTTACCAAAGAAAAAAGATGTCGGTCAGTCACTCGATAGTCTCTGATAGTGAAGTCTAAGGTAAACGGGTTCCCTTGCATAATTTCAATACTCGGACACTGCTAATGTTTACCTATCACAAATAGGACATACATGACATTTTCGTAATTTCTGCAAAGTTCTACAGAATTTGATGTTGGCTTCAAAAGGGACATAGTATCTTTAAAGGTTTTTAGCGTGCTGCCTCAAGCGAAGTAAACTGTTGCCCATAAACTTTGATTATTTTGTTGAAACTAAAATTCTTGTTTAGTAAGTTAGTCCCGGGTTAACTTATGAGAATACCACCCATACTCTTTATCTATTGAGAACAAGAACCGCCCTAATCATTTCGTTAAACGAGGTAAGAAAATGTATTTCAACTTCATGATAAGAGCGTACATACAAGTAAAGAGTTGCATCATAATTTATCACATTCATGTGCCTGTACTGTACGGAGCATTAACATTTCTACCCCATCCCAAACCAAATTATAGGTTCAACGACACTAGACTTAAATATCAGTCTATTTCGTTCCAGGATATTTCTGTCGACTACGATAGCTCAGTCGGTAGAGAGCAGTGGTCTCGTAATCCGGTGACCCGGGTTCGAAACCAAGGCGATGCGCCATAGTGCCCTTTGGTAAGGCATTAATCCTCACTACCAGGTCCCTCGGAGAGGACCTAAAGCCGTCGGCCGTCTGCATGGTTGCTTACTTACAAGCATTTATGCTTTCTTAGCAGTCAGGTAAAATAACCATCACACAATTTTGCTTTTTGACAACAACCGCCCCTAGATGAACCAACCCTGAACCAAACACTAAGCCTTTCTAACTTTCACCCTGACTTGTATCCGAACCCATTATAGCCCTATACCCTAATACTAAACCTATCTATTAGATTCCAATCACATCATTTATCCTTTTTTTTTTTATAAGACAAAATTGAACCCGGTGAAATGCTTGATTACCCCTACCCAGCTTGATGTTGTGAATACGTACTAAACTGAAAACACGATCGACAAGACTTTCGAAATATCAAGCTAATGCAAATAATAAAATATTGAAATTGCCTCTGAGCTTATATCATGAAAAGCAGAAACACGAAGTTGCAAACCATCCAGAGACTCTGAATAAATTGCGTTACTTATTAATTAATTATTTCATTACAAATCTTTATTCTCAGTTTTCTTATGAAGACTATAACTGATTTTCTTATAAAATTGAAGATATTTATGGCGTATATATTCATTACTAAATGAACGCCATTAAACATTTACCAACAACAACAACAACATGAATGTCTTTGCGTTTGTGTTTGAACAGGGATTAGACCTCCCTGCATGGTCACTGACAGGTGGATATCTCATCATATCAGCTCTAAATTAACAAAAGAGAAAAGGGGTACATGGGGGACCAACGGTCACCGATTAGGCATTGTTTGCTATATAGAGGGCGCAAGTAGCTATGAGTAGTGCAGTGGGAATTACACACATGACTGTACATGTGTCAACCTGTGACGGAGTTTCATTACTCTGCAATACGTCGCTAGATGTCGCTATTCGTATCTCGTTTTGTTTCATGATTGGATGCTGTATTGTAGCTTTGCCTTTGAACCGAGTCCAATTTAGACCGGAACACTGCTCAAATTTTCAAGGGCCTTTTATTACCGTTGCTGAAAAATGATGGGATATTTATTCTCACACTTCTTTTCATGAGATGATTGTTACAATAATGATTTACTCTTGACAGATAAAGTTTATATCTTTTCAGAATCTGTATTGACCAATCAAAAGAGTCGTATAGATTCAGCATCTTTATTGACCAATCATATTAAGAGTCATGGAGATTCAGCATCTTTATTGATCAATCATATTAAGAGTCATGGAAATTCAGCATCTTTATTGATCAATCAAAATAGTTCATAGAGATTCATCATCTGTATTGACCAATCAAAAGAGTTCATAGAGATTCATCATCTTTATTGATCAATCAAAAGAGTCATCAGCATCTTATTGACCAACTGTAAGAGTCATGGAGATTTAGCATCTTTATTGACCAATCAAAATAGCCATGGAGATTCAGCATCTTTATTGACCAATCATATTAAGGTGTCATGGAGATTTAGCATCTTTATTGACCAATCAAAAGAGTCATGGAGATTCAGCATCTGTATTGACCAATCAAAAGAGTCATCAGCATCTTTATTGACCAATCAAAAGAATTCATGTAGATTCAGCACGGGATTCAGCATCTTTATTGATAAATCAAAAGAGTCATGGAGATTCAGCATCTTTATTGATCAATCGAAAGAGTCATGGAGATTCAGCATCTTTATTAACCAATCATAAGAATCATAGAGTCATATTAAACGGGTGGATATCTCATCATATCAGCTCTAAATTAACATAAGAAAAAGGGGTCCATGGGGGACCAATGGTCATCGATTAGGCATCGTTTGCTATATAGAGGGCGCAAGTAGTTATAAGTAGTGCAGTGGGGCTTACACATGACTGTGCATGTGTCAACCTGTGACGGAGCTTCATTACTCTCTAATACGTCGCTAGATGTCGCTATTCGTATCTCGTTTTGTTTCATGATTGGGTGCTGTATTGTAGCTTTGCCTTTGGACCGAGTCCAATTTAGACCGGAACACTGCTCAAATTTTTAAGGGCCTTTTATTACCGTTGCTGAAAAATTATGCAATTTTTTTCTTCCCACTTCTTTTCATGAAATGATTGTTACAATAATGATTTACTCTAGATAGATAAAGTTTATATCTTTTCAGAATCTGTATTGACCAATCAAAGAGTCGTATAGGTTCAGCATCTTTATTGACCAATCAAAAGAGTCATGGAGATTCAGCATCTTTATTGACCAATCAAAAGAGTCATAGAGATTCAGCATCTTTATTGACCAATCATAAGAGTCATGGAGATTCAGCATCTTTATTGACCAATCATAAGAGTCATGGAGATTCAGCATCTTTATTGACCAATCGTAAGAGTCATGGAGATTCAGCATCTTTATTGGCCAATCATAAGAGTCATGGAGATTCAGTATCTTTATTGACCAATCATAAGAATCATGGAGATTCAGCATCTTTATTGACCAATCGTAAGAGTCATGGAGATTCAGCATCTTTATTGACCAATCATAAGAGTCATGGAGATTCAGCATCTTTATTGACCAATCAAAAGAGTCATAGAGATTCAGCATCTTTATTGACCAATCAAAAGAGTCATGGAGATTCAGTATCTTTATTGACCAATCATAAGAATCATGGAGATTCAGCATCTTTATTGACCAATCATAAGAGTCATGGAGATTCAGTATCTTTATTGACCAATCATAAGAGTCATGGAGATTCAGCATCTTTATTGACCAATTGTAAAAGTCATGGAGATTTAGCATCTTTATTGACCAATCAAAAGAGTCATAGGGATTCAGCATCTTTGTTGATCAATTTAAAGAGTCATAGAGATTGATCAATGAAGATTCTAAGTAGTAATGATTTTCTAACACTTTTTGAAACATATCAAATTTTAAAAGAGAATCACAGCGAAATGGGAATAATATTTATATTGTTGTTATCCTCTTCTCTGTAAGTCTTGCACTTCTTGATTTGAAAAAGAAAGAAGACAACGATTTTTCAAAGAGTGGTGTAGGAAAACGAATTAAGCACTATGATTTTTTTAAATCAACATTTGATCAAATATATATTGTTCCCTTAAAATTTAAACCTGTCAACAACTTGCACCTTACCTTTATTTTGTTTTATTTTGTTGAACAAAATCTTTTAAAAATGAAAAAGCACATCTACAACAAATGCATGATAAAGGACATGCCTACACAAATGGACAAATCACAAGAAGAAATTCTGGAATTGTGTTTGGAAATGCTTTATTAGCAATGGTGTAGAGATAATGTTTTCGCAAAAATAATTATAAATGCACATAATTTTTTGTGTACAACAATCAACAATTTTACAAAAATGTATGTCACAATTAAAACACATAAAGCTATAGGTACATTTCAGTATTCATTTGTACAGCACTTGCTACACACATATTATAGTTCTCAGATTGTGCACGCAAAGACCGTGTTTTTATAATTAAAGATAACTCAGAATTTCTGGCAATTAGCCTTTAAAATAATATTAGTTACACAGTATTTACCCAACCTAAGAATGTGGCATACATTGTAGAAATACCGGTAATACCCGGTACACAAACAAACAAATTTAACTGAATTTAACAAGTTTCAGAAAAAAAAGGTGTTTTTGGCTTGCTTGACACAGCAATTTAAAGAAAAAGAATCATTGAATATAAAATGATTGAAACATAAAAGAGCGGTAATTTATAAAATGTTGAAGATGAAAAATGGCTCTTCAGATATTAACCATAGAAACAATTATTGACAAGAAGCAGCTAACAGAAAGCAATAAGAATAAGTAAGGGCTGTTGAAACATTTGAAACATGAAGTAAGGACAACATTGCCCAACAAAAGAATAAGAAAATTCAAATTACAAATGTCACATAATATATGGCAATAGAAGCAGTGATGTGCATTTCATTTGAAAATTGCCTAAATCACAATATTCTATATTTTGTTCACAACTTCAATAACATTTTATACATATTACAACACTTCTGTATAAAAGAAAGTACTAGACATGGAATGTCTACAGAAAGTACTTTTCACATTATCTAAAATTAATCTAATTTCATAATTTCTCCCTATTGCGCAACTATATGGAAGTTGCTAAATATATTATTCATTGCGGATGTAATATCGAAAATAATATCGCTAGTGATATTCATTTGTCTCACAATGTATGGTCCGCAACAACAAGGGATCTAAAAGATCACGAGGTTTCGTGTGCCGCTGCAACACTTCGTCAGGTGATAAAATCTAATGTAAGCAAGTGTATTTTATACTCTACGGGCGGGTCGAACGGTCAAGGATTAAAAATCCTGATTTCAATGTGGTATTTAGTGAATAAATCATCTGTTCAGAACCAGAAGGGCATTCTATCTGTGTTAAAGAATATGATTGAGTTAATGCCCTTCTCCATCCAAACGCACACAATATTCCAATCAAATACAAGACTTATCTAAGTATAAGTTCTAAAGCAAAGTTTTGGGATATGATTTGATTTGAGTTGCATAAAAACAATTAGACAAAATTAATCAAATATATAATTTGTGGGAACCGTTTGACTTTTTATAACACTGTGGAACCTGTGATGATTACCTAAATGCACAAAGAATACAACATCATTACATTATACATTAATACGTAGAAGATCAAGAAAACAAAACAAACAAAATCAAAAATAAAAACCTTAAGACCATTTCATTACCCTACTGTATTGCATATAGAAATTGTGTTCCTATCATGTACTACATATATATATTGTACTATTCACACATTACAATAGGTGTTAGCCAAGCTAGTGAAATTCGTGTATGATGGTATTTGAAAGCTTTTGTGATCAGGCTTAAGCTAATTGGGCATTTCACATGCGATATACCAAGATCACTGTCAGTTTCAAAGGAATTCTTGTCTTTGATATTGCTATGAATGAAATATATAAAATCTGAATGGACATGAATAATAACATGTGATTAACAACACATACTGGGGGAAAGGAAGAATTCAGATATAACCAAATAAAATTAAGGGGGAAAAAATAATGTTAATTTGATACTTTTATTTTTATGATTTGGGCAATAGTGCACTATATGGTAAATTTGCAACATCATATTCTGATCATTATGTTCTAAATATCATTGTGAATGTAGTCTGAAATACACTCAAATGTTTAGTAACATTTAATAACAGATAATAGAGCTCACGTTTACTGATTCAGTTTCAAAGGAAAACAAGACACTAAGAATATTTTGTGATTCTAAACTATTACTCTCTTTCCCATCACTATTGGGAGACTCAGTTTTAAATATTAAAACTTTAGTTTTTAATTTTTGAATGTGCACACTCCCTTTATGCAAAAATTGATTTAACAAAATATTAATCATAAGTTTTAAAACAATAGAAGAAAATAGTGTACACAATGGGAGCTATCAACAAAATATTTGCGGCAGATAATAGGCTATTCATTATAGAGCAAAAACTTGAATATTTTATCCTCACATTCTGAAAAAATGGAAATACACTATGTACATATTTCAAATACAATGACTAGTAAGAAATATCTGAGTATTCTTTGACTCAAGAAACAGAAAATGCAGGAGCAAGATAAAATTCATTAAAGCTAATTTTCTTCCGCCAATCTATGGCAATACTACACTCAAAACAAACAGCAAGCAAAAGAACAAGACCTGTATATTACTCATTAAGTAAAAACCCACATGCGTATTGCAATTTAAGTCAGGTTAAAGATGAAGTTGAGTTCTAGTCATGCGATTGCATTGTGAAAGAAACGGTGTGGAATCGACCAGAAAAGGTTGATCATTTGTGTGTATTGCAAGGTTCTGGAATCATCAAAATGATAAGAAATTTGGCCAAGTCTTGGTACAGTTACAAACACTGTACACAAAAAGATGTATATGGGACTACACGAACACGTGGCACAAAAATCCTACCCCCGAGTTTTACGATGTTACATGACATATTTGGAATATGAAGGCATTTAAGAGCCATGCTTTTCAGGAAACATGTCTAATCTGATGTTCTTCCACACTTGCATAATAAGAATGATAACGCTCAAAAATTATTTTTCACCTCTTCCCAGAACTCAACCTTCTCTTTAAACAAAGGAAGAAAAAAAAAAAGCCTAGATTAGACCTGGATGTAACTTCCTTAGATAAACTGAAATTAAAGACCCTGTCGGAAGTGAAAAACAAATTAGATAAATTATGCATCAATGGAAAGCTTATGAGCCAAAAATTACAATAATATCCGTAACATGCTATTTTAGTGTTTGTCAAGGGAGTAATAGCCCTCTAAAAATTCGAAATCAAAAGCTTTGAATATCAGAAGTTGTCGACCTAAAAACTTGCTATCAATTTGATGACATCATCTTATGTGGATTACACATAATTATTCACAATGTCTTTGCATTAATTAAGGTGGCTTATTGCCTCAGTTATATAGGCGAGCAAATCAGGTCCACATGTTATGTTGTCTCCATAACTAGAGCAAATGTGACCACTGTTATTAAACCCATAATTTGGAGATGTGCGGAAAATGTGATATCAATTTGATTTTGTGCAAAACTGACAGTGAATTAATTTTTTATTCCTTTATACATTTATATTCTACATATATATTCATTTAGTTTTCCATAGATAAGTTGTATTTTCATCGGATAGGGCCTTTAAGGCTGAGCTTCAAACCACAGTCACATTTGAATTTTAGTAGAACATGGTGCTAACAGTTTATGTCAATTAACAAAAATTTGCTAAGGAAGGCATTATTTCTCATACCTTTTGAAACAATATGGTATGTTATCATTACATAACTATTCACCTTTCATCCTTCCTTGGGGCATCGATATTGACTAAATTGACTCTATATCAAGTGTGGAGTATTTTTTTCAGATAACGTTCTGTGGCTGTGGGCACAAAGTGACACCATGCTTCTAGATTCCTTTTTAACTAAAAAATTATCTGAAAAGCTAAAATAGAAAATGAAAATAGTGAAATTAAAGGCACATTTTATATACCTTTTGGGATCTGTATTTCTGCAAAGAAGGGGAGAGGGACACCTAGGGGTCCCTTTCATGCTTTAGTTAATGTGTAATTTACTGTATAACATACTGGGTTTTCCAGGGGAGGGACAGTGCCCCCATGCCCCCTTTCCCCTGAATCTGCCAATGAATATAAAAGTTCCTTTAACTTCTCTTATCATATTGGATTGGGGAAACTCTATCAGGGTGACATACCTCTCAGCTGTAAGAAAGATAGTTAGACAGCATTCTCAGACAGACAGACGTTTAGAGCCATTGAAAAGTCAACTTGATAAGGATGATATCACCCAAATAATGTCTGTTCAGAGCCAGATGGCCGTCAACCCTGTTATAAGATGAACGAGTTACATGGAAATGCCCTCCTGGCTCCAAAGACATGATATCGTCTGTTTGGTGCAAGAAGGGAGTTGGCTCGTATTAGTTTATGTATAGTTAATGCCCTTCTGGCTCTCAACAGCAATTCATACATAGAGAGAGCGAGCAAGCGACTATAAAACTCTGTCCAAGAATTGGCTTTCTGGCATAACTCCAGACTTGGATTTCTTCAAGACAGCAGTGGATATGTTTCTATGGATCACTTGTCTTAAGTCCCAGCTAAGGGATTTTTCCGTTGTTGCAAATTACCTGTGAAGTGGATATGTTTCTTAAGGATCCGTTATCTGGAAATCTTAAGCAAAAGGGATAATTTTCTGATGGCCATGATGGTTAGAGAAGGTAAATAATACCCAGCTGGTAGGCGGTGGCCCTTAATCATATAACAGCCGAGTACAAGCCTTAAGAATGGAACTAGTGAAAAAGAGAAATACATGTATGCTCTGTAGTGCATGCCTTACAACATAATAAGAAAAAAAAGGGCCAACATTTTTAGGAACAAATTATGCCCCCCCCCCCAAAAAAAAAAAAAAAAATGCTACATGTACATCCTATTCAATAATGTGTGATTCTATAAAACAGACAACATATGATATTGAGAATGTGGAATAAGAAAAGCAAATCTTATTGCATGGAATATACAGTAACAGCATTACATGTTTCTCCAGTACTGCAGTCTAAACATATAATCTCAATAACTTGGGAGTAATATGCTTTTATCTAAAATCAAAATCATCTACAACACTTTGCATTATTGCTAATCAATTATTACATAAGACAAAGCAACATTAAGTTTTATAAAAAATACATTTGCAAATGATGTACACTATTACACAGACAAAAACCGAATTAACAAAAATCTGTGATTTGTTTGCACAAGCTTGCTTTTTCAAAAAAGTTGCAAAAGTAATGAATCATGAAAATTGCAAAAAATATAATATTTAGTGGTTAACTAAATTCTCCATATATCTTGAAGACTATTTACAAATATATTTATATCATTCCCCCAAATTTGATGATAATTAAACATGTTGAAAGAGAATTTTATTTAACAAATTGAGAGAAATTGATTGCCAGTCTATCATCTACATGTAGGTTGCCTGGCTGGCAACACAAATAAAGAGTTTAAGTGTAACAATCAATCCAAAAAATAAGTTGTGTATCAACGGTAGGTAGAATGCATAGAATCAACCTCATCAAACTCTACCTGGCATTCTATAAATTAACAATAAAGGACTATGAAGCAAGTAAAGGATTACATAACTCCTGAATAAAGGGGGCGCGCACAGAACCCAAGTCAGGCCTGGATTTGGTGCACACTCTATTCTATTGCAGCTCACTGGGAGTGTATTTAAACTGCAATATCTCTTTGTAAAAGAAATATTTGAAGCTCATAGTTCGACCACAGTAATGCGACATGGAACCCCTTACATCAGGAGCAAAACATGTTTTGGAAATTTGTACACTTTAAAAGAGAGAGAGACAGAGAGAGAATTTTGCAAAGATGTAACAAAAAAATAGCTGGATTAGATTTTACTAAAGAAATTTGTAAACTTTGGTAATCAATAACTCATATATTTCCTCCTATATAATGTCACACATTAACTTTGGTTTGCTAAACATACTTTCAAATGCATTATTTGGTGTAAAAAACATAAAAATGAAGACTAGATTAAGTTGCAATAATAGCATTAAGCTATGCACCTTGTTTAGGTGGATTATATCAAGCCAAACAAACTTTGCTTATAACTTTTTTTATTTTGCACCAAGTATCTTTTGCAAAAACAAATCACAAAGTGGGTCAAATTTTATGACAAATGAGCTATCATTTCTTCTCATTAATAATAGCTACACATATCATGCTTTAACTAAATTTAAACTAATTTGCACCAATTTTACATTATTAAAATGATCTGAAGCTATTCTAATCATTCTAGACTGCTTCTCATATTCCATATGATTCCTATCAGGTTTGTCAAGTTAAAAACAAATCTGCCAGATTCACATAAAATGCCTCATCTTTTAATACCACTGTGACTAGTGCATAAACAAATACACGAATGCACACCAGTGGAACGGTAGATGCTTTGGTCAAACCTGACAGTGAGACATGAATTTGATGACAGATAGACTAAGGAATTCCACAAAAGATATTTCAACTATATCGGGTTATAAAGAATATATAGTTTAATGAAATGTAGTGGCAGGTGATGATGCATCCAGAACACTTTCTGGGCCCCGTAGCAAGAAACTTGCAATCAATCACAAAATGGCAATGGCCAATCAATATCATTGTTGCATGCACAAATTATTCAAAAGGCTGACCATTAACCAATCAAGATTGTTATTTCAGATTTGCAATAGATTGCAAACCTTTGCGTTACGGGGCCCAGAATGTTATCGTTATCTATGTTGGAGCACCTTGAATTATAATAACAATTCTACATTTTGTGTTCTGGACAGGTCTTCATATGTGCAATTATATTTCCTTAAAGGGAAATCCAACCCCTGCAATATTAAGTAGATTTGTATGAAAGCAGAAAACTAATTGAAACAGAATGGCAAAAGTTTGAAATAAATCTGACCAATTAAAAAAAGTTATGAATGTTTGGAATATGAGATTACTAGGTCAATTCTATGCGAATCTCGAATTGGTATTTGGTTAGTGGATTGTGACATACACGTAGGACGTGGATAACTCTCCCATTTCCCGTGTAAAAAAATATCACTAATTTCTGTTTTTCTCGTAAGTTCCTTCTTCCTTGGGGCACTACTAAAAATATAAGATAAATAGCATATTATTATAGGTCCTCTAAAAATAAAAGACCCTTCAGAGCCATGACTGTTTGAAAAATGTAGAGTTTAGTCATTTTATATGTTGGAACAGATGGGAAAGTAGTCTGGCACTACATCACATTGACATTATCGCTTCAGCCAATTTGAAGTGCCCTTACGTATTGTGATTACAATTTTCAAAAATTCATAACTTTCTTAGATTTAGTTTGCTTCTCTGATTTGTCTCAGTGCATTCGTTTAGAGTAGATGTCTATTTGGGTTGGATTTCCCTTTAACTACCTGATCTAGATATAGCAGCATGTAGATTCCAACAATGTAATTTCAACAGATATGTACATAACTTTTATATTGGAATGTGTGTACAGATTAAAAATGGTACGTATAGTACTATATATGGCACAAAATATTGTATTCTATTAAATTAATACAATTTGATAAATGTAATTCTACTGCTTGATGTGGCAATATGAGCTACAAAGGATACTTTATATGTTGCCTTGACAATCATTTAATTTGGGGTTGTGTGTGCTACTGTATTCATTTTCAGATAATAAAAAATAATGTCTATCTATGCTGTGTGTTAATGAGTTACTTGATTTTTAATGTTGACGTACATGCTACTTCAGTGTACGTCAAGGTGATATTAGATTAACAAAGATATTGTTAACTATTAACAATATCATGATACAGGGTTTCAAAGATATCGTCCATCAAAGAAGTTTTATACTGTGTTATCACCTGTAGTAAAACAGAACAAAAAACACAATTTTTGTTGTTGGTAATTTGAACAATTCATTGTTCAAGTAATTTGACAGATTGTGTTTTGATCTTTGTAATGGAGACATAAGTTGCACAAAATATCAACATTTATATAATTGAAGTCAACTTCAGAACAGTTTATGTGGAAATTCTTTTCCACCATGTAACTACCAATTCATATCATAACATACATGATATCAACAATAGAATAATCTCAAAAGGAGATGGTTTAAATAAAACTCTAGGAAAACAAAAATAAGTCAACACAGTGAATAACAATTTGTATGTGCTGATCGTACATATATATATATCCAAATGAAAACATATTCAAGTGTGTCAATAAAACGAGGCAAAATAGTCATGAGTTGTTCAAGGGCGAGCGCCTAGGCTATAGTCATTATTCCCGTCATAAGTCCCTTTTGAAGAAGCGAATAACGCCTTCTTCGTGCAGTTTGTTCCAGAGTCCCCTCTCGTTGTCTATATCGTGAAGAGCGGTGGATTTGTCGGTGTGGCTGACGAAGGCCTTGTCGTAGTAGTGCAGCGTGAAGCGCTGGTCGTAACCGAACCCGTAGATGGTTACTTCATCGCATACATGGACAGCGAGCATTACCACTAAGGCACCTGATTATACAAAAATACACAAATGAACAAAATATTAAAAAACATGAGATGACTTTTTTGAAGAAGATTTTTTAATTAATATTAATTTGGAGAAGCTTGCATATTTGCTAACATTTCATGCACTGATCAAAGAATATCTTACAATTTCTTGAAATTTGATCAGCTTAAAATGCGAAGAAAAACAATATATTGGCAAAAAGGAATGAAATTATTGAGATAGGAGGTGGTAAATTGCAGCATATTTAAAATGAGGTAATGTGTATTTAATACTCTTCACATTTCTCTGCTTTATAACGCAGAGCTCAGTGAATGCGTCCAGGACCATTATTGCACACAGTTCTTTTTCCTTTTTTCCCCTGCATCATATTCATATATGAACAAGCCTTAACCGAATCGAGCTTTATCCGCTAGACAGGACCGGCCACCATTAAACCATACCAGTATATTTTTAACTTTTAAAAACGAAATTGAAAGACAACTGAAGGTAGAGTATAGAGTAGAGTATGTCGCCTGTTCTAAAAGTCTTTGTATACACGGAACATCTAGAAAAGAATTCTAATATATTCCTCTTCTACAGATTATTGAATGGTACATTTACGCTAAATCTGTCTCGCAGCCTTGGCTAAATCATATATTTTTTTAAGAAATAAAAAGGAAAATGCATATATAGCAATACTATACCAACATATCAAAGGTATTAAAGGATGACACACGATTTAGCATGGTAAATGTGAATCATATTATATACGAAGTGAAAGCAAAACGTGGGAAATTGTGCAGAGAAAGATCCATTGGAGCGTTAATATATGGTATTCAATCTACTTGAAGGTGTATGAAGTACATTGCTATCACACATCTACACTGTTTAATACAAGGCACCTGCTGAAGCGTCTTATTGGTTGACATTTGGATGCAACACAAGCCTCTTCGCTGAATAATTCATTTTATAGCATGCTCTTTACAACATACATGTACATGTAGATGGGCATCACTAAACAAGTGCCATTTACAGTCTGTTTTCATACTACATGTAGATACCGGTATATGAGATAAGATCAAACTTATATACACCTACAGTTGGGTCGGTAAGATTACATACACCTGGTAGAAAAGCAATACAAAGGTATACATTATCACAACTTCACTCAATCCTGCCACTTTGTCACTCCAGGAAGATAGAAGTCTGTTTAATGTATAATATATACGGTACATCACTAATCACTCTGAGACATTCATGTGACTCCTGATCGCAATGAGTGCAGTTGTGAAAATGTGAGTAAAATGTTTTCTTCTAGGTGTATGTACATTTTCAGACCCAACTGTACTTGTAATAACAAGGAATTTGTCATGAATATGTTTATTGTAAACACATTCAATTGTACTCTGTGATTATTATGCTTATTACAGTGCCTTGCTAACCCTCTTTGGGCGGATGTGTTGTCCATTATAAAAGTCTGAAGTTTGCACTAGTATAGTATCCTCTTCCAATTATTGAATACAGCATAAGGATTAGCCACTTCTAGCTGACATAGCACAAGTGACCTATGAATATCCTGATGTTTACATGAGGGAGAGGACCCACTTTTATGCATTTTAGAATCATCACTGCCAAAGTGATGGAGGTCTTGTTTGCCCTCTTAAAAAAAATACTTCCACCTATGTATCAAAGAATGTATCACCGATGCGTAAATGAATGATGATTACACAACTTTCATGAAAATTAACCAGCAGTCATCTTGATGGGTTTTACAGTTTTGCACCATGAGCAGATAGATAGTATCTCTGCAGTGGCTTACTGTATGCAAGGGAGAGTTCACAACAGCCTGCAAACATGATGTGTTGTAATTCTCTCATGCTTACAGTATAAAACTCGCATGCATCTTGACTACTGAGAAATCCTCAAAAGTGCCAGGCATGTATCACAGCTAGCGTGCTGAAATCAGATTTCAACTGTTCTATCCACTCACTATTTTCTCTCCATTTTCTAGCTATTTTCTTGCTCTTTTCGAATACTATGGCATTCCATGTCTTTTCAAAGATAACAAGACTTGCCATTTTCTTGCTAAAAATCCTCTGTTTTTATCATAATTAAAAAAGTTTCTGCATCTGTTATCATTATAACACATAGAAGTACATGTACATAGAGTCACATACCTGTGGTAGGTCTATGTGATTTGCCATCTAAGTATCTTGTAAAGACATAGCGAGAGAAATCTGGATGCAAGAGCTTGAGCCTGGCTGGTGGTATGGGTGGTTTCTTCAGTTTACTGTAGAAGGGTAAGAAGTCAGTACAGAGAGATGAGAAAGCAGGCAAAGAAAGAAGAGAAAAGAAGATGAGAAGAGAGAGGGGAAAATAGAGGAAATGAGGAGAGAAAGAGAATGCTTGAAGAAACGGGGGAGAGATAAAAGAAAGAATAAGGGCCAGATAAAAGAGAAAGAGAGAGAAAGAGAGAAAGGAGAAAGCAAAGGAGAGACAGATAAAACAGAAGACAAAATACAAAATTAGTGTTGTCAACAGAAAAATATATTACACAACTAGCTTATCTGAAAAGAGTTGATACACTGTTTAAATGCAACATGATAATGATAGCAGTGGTGCTTTCTTATATATTGTTTTAAATTACATACTCAATAAAAGAGGTTATTGAAAGGACAGGATCTGACAATTTCGGAGGCAACACACTGCGCTATAACTAAACTAAGAAATCACTCTGAATGATATTTCTTGAAAGTCTTTGCGATCATGATGATAGCAACTCTAGGGCATATTTAATGTCATCTCTCATATTGTATGAATTTCTTTTGCCCACAACCAAGAGAGTAGGGGGGGGGGGGGTGGGGTGTCTTTCTTTGGCAAAGGTCCAATTTTAAGGGTAAAAGAAAGTACAACAATCACTGGAAAAGTATGTGTATTGTTTATTTAGAAGGAATAAAACAAAAAAGAAGGCTCAGGTGAAATGTACATACATGTACCAACGGTCGTACAAGTTGAGTTAACCCATGACCATGGCAGGGCTTGAGGCCAACATGCACCAGAGATACATTTATTTGTTTAAGAAGTAATATATGAAGCTGACATTTGAACATAGAATACCGGCAAAGAACCCTTCATATTTAGAGCATTGTTTCCTTTCCTCCATCGGAGCATAGGCTACATTGTCTCCTTTTTGATAGTGATGTTTTTACATTATCTTTTGATCCAGAATGCTAGGAATAACACATTATACATATACATGTGAAGAAAAAGCAAAACTCAAAGATTTTAGGTCTGTTTCCAATGCAGTAAATTGTGCAAATCTTGAATAAGAGCGGCTTAATTGAAACTATAAAATCGTGTAAAAACTGGCAACTTTTTAGTCAAATTTAGCAATTTCCTTTCGCACTGGTTCATTTATTTCAAGCTTTGAAGGAAAAATAGAAATCTATGGACTGCTATGGAACAAAGGCAAAGCATCCAAAAATCATTAGAATAAGGCAGAGGTGCTAAAAATAGTGGGCCAATATGGTCATCCTATCCCCTTTCTGATATCACATTACATGCATGTACAGCTGTGCTGGCATTCCTGGTATCCTATTAAAGCATAGAGTTACACTTACAATTTTTTTCCTTTTTGAATGTAGATGGGTGGCGACTGGCTGTTGTTGACAATACTCTCCATGTAGTCTACGTCATACTGTTTGAACATTGTGTACACATACATTGCTCTCTGTAAAAGGGAGGTAAAATGAGAGAAGAATAAAGTAAAAAATACAGATTTTATATTTTTACTGTACACATACAGTGAATCTTGTTCTAAATGGGAGATGAATGTAAGAAATATATGAAATGTAATCTCAACAAAATCAATATTTGAACATGACATAGATATATTTATGAATTTTAATGAATGCACATTGCACTTTGTTGAAAAAAAGGAGATATGAATAGTCATGAAGTAAAGCCTCGGTCACAAATGCCATTACGAACTGCTACATACGCCCTACGAATGATTTTCAGACAATGGAAAAACAGGGAGATTCGTATGAACGCATCGATAGTACAAACCTTTGTGACAGTAGCTTTAGGAACATAATTCAACAAATCGTCTACTAGATGCAAGAAGGAAGTTACGTGTCATACACATGTACAGTTAAACTCAAATAACACCTTTCTGGCTCTGAACACTCAAATTGTAGACCATATTAAAAATATTAAGAAATAAAGAACAAAGTGAGTATATGAACATGAGTATTAAAGCCATCATTTTCATTTGTGTCAGATTGAAATACACATGTACATTAAACAGTGGAAATCGAATAAAAGGCATACACTATACAGAAGTAGAGAATCACAGTAACACTTGAAAATAACACACATTGACCTTTCAAATCATCTCAAATGAATCACATTTTCAAACATTTCAAATTCCAGAAAAGTATCTCCTTTTGCCCTATCAAAGGAAGCTACTGTTATACATATAAAGGGGTACATGTAATTTTTTAAATATTTTTTATAAACATAAAAAATGAAATAAAATAGCTTGCTCGAAGATATCTGCCCATATTTCTCTTTCTTAGAGTGCACATATTATTTGTAAATGTTCTATGTACACTACAGGAGCTTAAAGCAAAAAAAATTATGAAATTCATGAGCTTTTTCGTTTTGTGCAATACTGTAACCAAAAATAAAGGGGGGGGGGGAGAAAAAATCCAAGCCCATTGCCAGCTTCCCCTGCTGAACCCATGCTAGGTCACTTCATGAATATGTTTGTGTCTTACATTGACCAACAATAATTGTAAGATTTTTATAAATGCATCAGGAAGAGGTGATTTCCCCAAGAAATTTAAAGCCCACCACAAACTTTTAACACTTTCTGACTAAAATCTGTTTGTTGAAGAATTTGCAATTTCATTTGATGTGAACATTCAAAGCTCTAAAATCTCAATGATCAAGGATCTGAATAGTCATATGATTAATACAATTGAATTGAATTGAACTTTATTTCATTCATCATTAAAACATCACAACAAACATATAAAATACAAAACAAAGCTTACAAGTTAAAGAGAAACATTTACAATATAAATCAACAACAAAAAATATGGTAACCCGACACAAGCTCCGTCGACGATTGCTCCGCGACATTTACTCCGCAAAACGCGACTATTGCTCCGCGACATTTGCTCCACGACATTTGCTTCGCCGACAATTGCTCCGCCGACATTTGCTCCGCCGACATATGCTCCGCCGACATTTGCTCCGCCGACATTTGCTCCGCCGACAATTGCTCCGCCGACAATTGCTCCGCCGACAATTGCTCCGGTGACAAATGCTCCTCGAACGACAGTTGCTCCGCCGACATTTGCTCTGCCGACAATTGCTCCGCCGACAATTGCTCCGGTGACAAATGCTCCTCGAACGACAGTTGCTCCGCCGACATTTGCTCCGCCGACAATTGCTCCACCGACAATTGCTCCGGTGACATTTGCTCCGCCGACAATTGCTCCGCCAACAGTTGCTTCGCCGACATTTGCTCCGCCTGAAGCGACACTTGCTCCGGTGACAATGTTGATGATAATAATAATAACTAGATTTGTAATACTTGTTTTGAACAAGTATAGGTGGGCTGGTCTAACTAAAATTTGAGACAAAATAAAGGGAAAATTTAAGATAGCTTATTGTCTCAGCTACAACATACTCGAAGTTCAGCGTAAACGAAGCTAAAACGACGGAGATATTGCTCGCGAAAGACGGGAATGCAGAATCCAGTTTTGAGAAAAAGTCATGAACCATAGAGAATACACGCAAAAAGAGATAAATTGACATGCCTCCTTTAATCGCAAAAATACGTCATGATTCCTTTGTCGAAATGAAAAATCATGTCAATTGCATTTGTAGTGAATTATCTCAGCTAGAACATATCGAAAGTTGGAAGAAAATCAATCAATATTTACAGAGATACAATCAATTTTCCAAAAATATGCTGATGTCATAATATGCAAATTGGAATTTTAGTTCGGAGGCCATTATGATGACGTCATGAGTTAATTGAGGGTCAAATGAGACAAGAAATCATATTTCCAATTCATACTCTACAAAATATAAAACAAAATTTGGAGTCACCTCACATCCTAAAGAGCTACAATAGATTTTGTATAGGCATGTTTTTGCCCATATATGCTATGTATTACAAGAGCTCGCACGCACGGACGTGTATCTTAAACGGACGCTCACTCCGTTATTAATGGTCAGAAATATGTTAACAAGGTATCAAAATGCTTGGGAAAATGTGCCAAATATGATGACAAAGAAAAATTGGCAATTCTTTGTTGCAAAATGCCAGAACGCGCGAAAACACGCGAGATTTTTTATAAAATGCTTAAAATGGCCTAAAACGTATGTAAAATTATTTTGAGACTATTTTGAGCATTTTAATATTTTGCGCGCGCACTGACGCGCGGACGTACGCGCACGCACGCGTTTTTTGACCTGAAATTGACCGGACGAATATTGACCTTAATCATGATAAATATGAATCAAAAATGGCTTTTGGTTATGAAGATATATGATCATGAGTTGATTTTCAGAAAAATTTACAAAATGGCGCCTAGATGACGTCATCAGTGAAGGTCATAGTTGAAAACGTTATTGTGTTTTGTACATATGCCTATACATATATGTGTGCCAAATTTGAGCCATTTTCAAGTAATCGTGCTTACAAAAAAAGTGGTTTGAAAAAAGTAAAATAAATAATAAAGGCAATTCTAACGAAATTATAAGGTGTTCTGTACGCTTTACAGCCCACCTGATAATAAAGGCAATTTTAACAAAATTATAAGGTGGCCTGTATTAGATACAGCCCACCTAATAATAAAGGCAATTTTAACAAAATTATAAGGTGGTCTGTATTAGATCCAGCCCATCTGATAAATAAATAAAGGCAATTTTAACGAAATTATAAGGTGGTCTGTACGATATACAGCCCACCTGATAAATGAATAAAGGTAATTCTAACGAAATTATAAGGTGGTCTGTACGATATACAGCCCACCTGATAATAAATGAATAAATAAACAAATGCAATTCTAACGAAATTATAAGATGGTCTGTACGATATACAGCCCACCTGATAATTACAAAAATAACATTAGTAACACCACCAACCATAATATTCATTGTTGTCATTATCTAAATCACAAGAACGAAGGAAAAACATGAAATTTGATGTACAAAAGGCATGGAGAGTTGTTCACAGATGATGTCATCAAATTGAATACCGCCCTCTAGTGACTAGTCATTTCAAAAAGCTCTTACTTCCTTATTCCTTGCCCGATTTTGTTCAAATTTTCACTGATATTTTTCAAGTATCTTAAACTTTACAATAAAAGTAACTTAGTATGAAGGTTTTGGTTTCCTTTAATTTATTTGACCCAGTACTGATGATCATAATTTTATCTACCATGTGATTGCCATGTGTACGCCACACCGAATAGCACTAGCTCACATTTTGTTATTGTTTTTAAGAACTTATTGGCATGCAGCCGGTAGATTTTCATCATGTGTTTGATCTTGTATTGAAAAAAAGATCAAACACATCACCATAATCTACAGAGTGCAACCAAATATTTCTTAACAATTGAAATTTCTTTCAGGAAGCCTAACACTAAAAGGTGTTTTTGATTCAAAGAGCATCGTAGAGACGACGAACAAATAAGAATAATAATACATTCACTTCTATTTCCCCGCCAAATAATCTGAACAAAAGAATCAACCGAGGGTAATCAACTGTTAAACGATTTTTAAAATGAGTCCTTGAAAAATTAATTAATACTTCTTGTCAAATATTATTGAAGAACAGCAAAGGCGAATGCGAAAGTCGCTACAATTCAGAAATCATTGCTTGCATTGCTTTTCTCTCAAAATTACCGTGAGATATCAAGCTACATAGAACTATGATCGACACAAAAGATATTGTCTTGAAAACAGTCAGAAACATTAGAACTTGAATGAATAAAACATAATGCAAATGAATAAGACTAGAATGAATAGGACACAAGTTAATTTCTACCATTTAAATCATCCAGTACCAAATACCTGAGCAAAATTCGAACCAGATGCATTTAATGGTAAACTTAAAGACAATGATTCATGACAATTGTCAATTGTCATGAGTTTATCGTCTAGACGTATTGCAAAAGATAATCAGAATAATAATGATCAGAATGATACCTCTACTATAAGGCCTAATTCTACATGTACTATACTACACTAGTGCCATTGTAGATTATGCTGATAATACAGATGATAATAATGATATGATAACAATTATAATAATACTATATACTTATACTAATTATCATCAAAATCATCATGTTCATATTCATCATAATAATAACAATAATAATGATTATAATAATTACAATAATAACTTATCTAAACGATAATAATCATGATAAGGATAATAATCACAATAACAAACATAATAATTACAAAAATATCATTAGTAACACCACCAACCATAATAATCATTGTTGTCTTTATTATTGTGATACTGCTTCTAATACTACTCCTACTACATGTACTAGGAAGGAGGGGAAGAGGAAGAATCTTATTGTTTATTTTTTGTATTATCGAGGCATACAAATGCACAGGGAGGTAAAAGAGGGAAAAGTAAGGCGACAAAGAGGGAGAGAGAGGGAGAGAGAACGAGAGGGGGTAGCCTATGGC